TTTTTTAATTAAAAAGTATATTGCTAAAATTAATATTTGAAATTTTATTAAAAAAATAAAGTTTAAAAAAATAAACGCAGGCAAATTTGCCTGTGTTACAATTTAAGGGATAATCTAAATCCAAATTTTTTTTACTCACCAACCACTTGCACTATTGGCATGATTCTCAGTCCTTTCTCCACTCAACTTAATGGTTACCAGCAACAAACTGTCGGTTTGAAAGTTCGAAGTGTTTTGTTACTTTTGGCCGTTTGGTTTTTTTGTTTTTTCATCTGTTTCTTTTCTTTTTTTTTTTTTTTGATCTACTTCTAAGCTAAATTTCTCCCACGTCGGTTGCAATATCAATAAGATCCTACACGAGTTTAAGGTGAAAGTCCTTTTGCTCCTGAATTGATTCCAAGATTTGGGCGATATGGTACACATTGATGATGTAAGTATCCAGCAACCGGAAAAAAAGTGGCATCCAGTTTCTTCGTACTATTTGCTGCATATTGTAATATGAATGAAGCTGGTCGGCAATATCTATACCATTCATATGATGGTTGTAGTTATTGATTATTTTAGGAATTCTTAATTTTTTTTAATTGAGAGCCAAACACCGCATGCACTTTTGTTGCATTGGTGCTTGTTTCTCTTGGCCGCTGTTTTTCATATTCTATTTCCCATTGTTCACTAACAAGACCATGAATTGTTGACAACATTGTGACTGGACTATTGTTCTGCCAAAACACAGCCAATACTCCATTTACTACAATGCCAGAATATACATCCCAGTCAAGTCAAAGGTTTTTTTCCACTTTCAGTTCCTTAGGGAACCCTGATGCTACTTTTCGAACAGTGCCACAGACACCAATACCAATTTGCCGAAAGTTCTGAAAAAGAGGAATATTAGTAAAGTAGTTGTCCATGTAGATATTAAATAAAAAGCGACGATACGGAAACTGTATAATAAGATGGTGGACCAGACAACTAGTTTGGTTGAGCCCACTCACTTTTTCTACATCACTTGGAGAGACATGTGATATCGGCAAGAAAGTAAATATATATCCGAATTCACAAAGCGACAACACCTTAAAACCCTCTGGGATTGGTTTTTCTTAATACAAATAGTGTGAACGCTTTTTTCAAAAAACCTTACCATTATTTTATCAACCAAGACATTTGAGACTGGTGTGTAAAGTTGTTTCAAGGTATCTTGGATATGGGAAAGCAGCGGCTTTAATTTTTCGAAGTAATGATTAATAGCAGCTGCAGGCGGAGCAATATGCAAATATCTCTTGATTTGTTCAAACCATTTTAGCGTCATTTGTTTGGAAATATGGTGTATGGGGAGCTTCAAGTCCTCATTCCAGTACTGATCAAGTGAAGGCAACCCAAAAATCCTCTGGTAAATAACCAATGCAATCCAAGTAATAAGCTCCTTGCGGTCCATGTTTTTTCACTGTCTTCCTGCAAGACCAGTGCCTTTAATTAATGTGTATGAATTCGTATTCAGAACAATTTTATCAAGTAAAGTGTTCATAAAGAAAAATAAAAAAAGATTAATCGGTTTTGAAAAACTGACTTCATAATTTGGTGGCAAATTTACAAATGCCTAATGCAATTGTTTTGAATGAACCAATGGTTCAAAATTTGGGAGCGGTGGTGGCAATTTATCTATACTTTTTGATTTTCTGCGGCTTTTATTGCTACTATTTTCAGTGTCTTCGTCCTCCTCATCGTCTAATCCCGGGTTGTTCAAAAAACGTTGGCAGGATGTCAGAACTGGCATGTATTCTTCTTCCTCTTCATCAGAAAATACCTCAGTACTTTCTTGGGGGGCAAATTCGAAGATAAACTTGCTTTTGTCATTAAAAACGGCTTTTTTTTTTTGAATTTGAATTTTTTTTTTTTTTTTTTATTGATTGATAATCGCTGTACTACCGCAACTTCATGTACTACTAACACGTGATCCTAAGTTACAAGACGATCTGCAGAAGTCACAAGATGATCTGCAGAATCATATACTTTTATTCTAATTTAGAAAAAGGGGTATGATTGCTTAGTAAAGTCAGGTGTAATTGCGCAAAATCAAAAAAAAAAGATTTTAGCGGGTAAATTTGTCCGCTGGACGGTTTAAGGGATAAGATAGACCACCCTATCTGCTATTTCCACAAACTTTTTTTTGCTACATACAATTATATAAAATTTATAATTAATTTGTTATTGAAAAATATATAAATTATGCTATATTAATACACAAAAATTTTTTTAGTTAATAGAGAAAAAAATGTTATAAAATTATAAAAATTTAGTAATAAACCTATTTTCACAAACTAGTTAATAACTTTTGATCCACTGGTCCGTTTTAAATAATTTTACCACCAAAGTGATCATCTTAATGAGATGATTCCAACAAGCTCAAAATCATTAAAATCCATTCACAGTTATCCTGAGATCGTTAATGTCTTGTACACAATTTGGATGTTTTCCAATTTATTATAAAATTTGTTCAATTAATACCTAAATTAAACACAATTCTTTAATTACCTCGGGATCCTGTGATTAGATTTTAACGACTTTGAGCTTTTTAGAATCGTCTCATTGAGACGGTCATTTTGGCAGTAAAATCACTAAAATGGGCCAGTAGGTCAAATTATAAACCGTAAAATTTTAAAAATTTAAACCCATCTAAATTAAGCATGATTATATTTTAATGATTTTGAGTTGAAATTGCCTCATTTTGGTGGTAAAATTATCCATAATAGACTGGTGGATCAGAAATAACTATTTGTAGAAATAGGGTATTTGTGGAAATAGGGTATTTGTGGAAATAGGGTAGTCTACCTTATCGCAAAAAACCCATTGCTCTACGAATACTTTTCTTTTTCCAAGCTGTGTGACAATGATGATCACATTTATATATTTAAGTCTTCGTTTCATAATCATGAATTACTTTTCTTTTGCAGGATTCGCCAAAAAATGGACATCAATTCTCTTTTCAACGTCAAGGATAAAATTGTGTTGGTAACCGGTGGATCACGCGGGTAATTAACCAAAAAAGAAGAATTTCGTCTTTCAGAAGTTGTATTCTTTCTACGTTCTAAATGATCCACATATATAATAAAGGATTGGTCTGATGATATCAAAAGGTTTTATAGTTAATGGAGCTACTGTTTATATCTCTTCGAGATCAGTTAATGCTTGTGATCAGATTGCTAAAGAATTAAACGCAAAAGGTGCCATTTCAATGACTTATTCAACTTAAAATATGAATAATTAGATTTTAATTGATGATAATTTTGACAAAGGACCTGGTAAAGCGATTAGTTTACCAGCTAATTTACAACAACTGGATGAATGTAAAAGAATAATTGATGAAATTGAGAAACGTGAAGGAAGTAAGTTTCATAATTTGACCCTAAAAAGAAATAACGTTTACCGTCTCTTGGATTAAAAGTGCAACATTGATTTTTCGTGCCAAAAGAATTACACGTTTTAATTAATAATGCCGGTGCATCTTGGGGTGCACCGTTTGACAAATATCCTGAAGAAGGCTTTGAGGTTTATATGATTTTGCACACTATTTATACACTGAGTTCATTCTAATATTAAAACCAAATTTTGTAATTACCATAAAAGAAAGTAATAAACTTGAATCTCAAACGTGTTTTTAGTTTAACGCAAGCGTAAGTTCTATTTAATGCTAATTCTGGTTAAATAATACATAAACTGAAAACTTTATTATGCAATTTAGCGCGGTACCCTTACTAGAAAAAGCCGGCACGCAAGATGATCCAGCAAGAGTAATTAATATCGGTTCAGTTGACGGTAAAAACATTTTTCAAACACTTTCTTAAATTTTATTATCTAATAGATATTTCTCCAAGTAGGCAAAAGAGTCCCAGCTTTAGAAACCTACGCCTATTCGGCCTCAAAGGCCGCACTTCACCATCTAACTAATGTTCTAGCTGGTAATCTCTCACAACGTAATATTACCTTCAATACAATAGCGCCCGGTCCATTTGACACAAAAATGATGGCAGCAACTTTAAAAACACATAGTAATGGATTTAAAGACATAATCCCATTAGGTAGAATTGGTAATCCAGAAGATATCGCTGGGACCTGCATTTATTTATGTAGTAGAGCTGGCGCATATACTAACGGTGCTAATATTTCGGTTGATGGTGGATACTTATGCAGTAAGCCTAAATTGTGAAATTTATTTATTTATTTACCAGAATGTTGGTGGATAGAAGCTCGCTAAATTTTTGATATTCTAATACAATTTGTCAAAAAATGATTGAATAATTTTTTATGATAAGATATTCTAAATTTAAAGACTAAATAATTATATATATATCTGTTTCAAACTTAAAATCTTATAATTTTATAAAAAAAATTCATCACTGTTTAAACTACAAAACTACATATAACTTACAGTTTACTTATCAACCACAAAAGGCTTCTTCACTGGTAACACTAATTTTTCATTCCTTTTCCAGAAGTCTACTAAAGCAGTGGCAGTTCTTTCTGGCATATCTTCTTGGACCATATGTCCTGCTTCTGGTAATACCATTAGTTGATATTTTCCTACATTGGAAAAATACACGTTGAGTAAATTTGAAATAAATATAAATGGCAATAGAATAAATCAATCACCTTGCATTTGAGCAATTGTTAGCGGTTTATCTAATCGATCGGTGCCTAAATTATTACACAAAAATAATTACTACATAAATCTTTATCAATAAAATTTATTTTATATTTAAAATACCGGCAAGGATAAGTAATTTTGCAGCGCTAGAGGACAGAAATTTTTCAGATAATCCAGAAAACCACCCTGTAAAAAGGAAATTAAACATTCAATGTTCTTCATTTAAACATATGTAATATAAAGGATCAAACCTTTCCAATGTGGTTGCGCTACAGCTAAATCAGTCCTCCAAGTATATTTTTTTATGTTCGTACAAGTTTCTTGTTCAGTTAATAGACAAGGTATGGAAACTCTGGCCGATTTATGATTACGAATTGTACCTGACTTTATGCTACAATCGAACGGATAAGATAATGTAGACATTATACAAATTTCTGTTAACTCCTCTATTAGTTGTAATGAGTGTAAAAAAAACAATCGCAAAAGCGAAAAGTTTTTTGAAATTTGCAGACTATTAACCGAACTTATTACCTCCACGAAATCGCATCTTCTACGGTTTTGAATTCACTCGGTCTATTTCTACAAAAGTTTAGCATACCTGAAAGTGCTTCCATTGCAGACCCTAAATAATAAAAAACTTCTATGGAAACTTAAACGCATTCTCTTTAAGATTATTACAATAACAAACCTTCAACAACATCGATCACAGCCATACAAGTCACGGAAGGTATTAATTGTTTTGATGTTGCATCTGCTACAACGCAACCTCCCATACTAAAAACAAAAAAGGATTATAAAGTTATCTAAATTTAATAATATTTTTAATAATATAAAAATAAGACTACCTATGCCCCACCAAGAAAATTTCTCGGTCTGTTATAACATCATTTCCAAAAGCTGCTTTCAAAACATCTGTTAAATCCTGACTTAATTGATCCAATGATAAATTGAGATCATCAGAAGTTTTCGTTTTCCCTATATTAATAGAAGATATATATATTTATTTACATCAATCATGTGAAATTTGAAATTGTTTTATAACTTAAAACGACTTACCATGGCCTCTACAATCATACGCAAATATGGCAAATTCACTGTTTGTTAAATTTTTAATATGTAAAGCGGCTAAGGCAAAAGATAAACCAGAATATCCAGCACCGTGATGAAACACAAATAATGGATTTTCTGCCTTGCCCTGGATGTCATAAGCTCTGAATATGTAAACCAATTCGCATAGGATATTTGGTCAAGAATTTCATAATTACTATCATCCTTTAAAATTTTGTTAGGATAACAAGTGAAACGTAACTAAAAAGGATATATTTTCAGAATTTGGTATTTTTATATCTCTACAGCTATCAAAACAAGTTTCCCAGGGAATAGGTATATATTTATTTTTTCTATATAATATGCAATTCCATACGCGTATTTTAATATAATAAAACTTTATAAGCTAAAACTCTCAATAATATCCAAGAACCTACGTGATAGATAAACTTCTAATGTCGCTTTTCTCAGCTTCTTTTATTACCTTCTTCGAGTCTTCATTTTCTTCCTCCTGTTCTTCATTTATTATTGGTTCTGATAACGCAGTACTTCTATTCCCTCTTTTAAATATTTCCTTTTGCAAAAAAGACATTTACGTTTAAAGTGTTTTACCAAACTTGTGATAACTTATGATTGGTCGATTTTCATTTGCTCATAGCCCCAAAAAAGGAAATTTAAATTTGTGTTAATACAGTAATATTAGAAGCTATAGCCATAGACAATTTTCTTCTTTCGCACGTGTTCGGAATTCTCAAAATTTGAACTCGCTGATTGGCTATTTCCTTTTTAGGAGTTTGTATTACTGGCAAATAAAACAAAAATTCAGCAGATCGGCCCGAATTATGGGTCGTATTGCACCAGCGTTAGGCGGCACTAAGAAATAACAACAACTAACTGTATTACACCCAGGGTTGTAAAATTACCGTAATTTACGGTAAGTTACTAAAACTTATAGTAAATTACCATGGTAAATTACTAAGACCCTAGCGTCACCAACTTAGTTTCATCAGTAAAATTTTGAGTGATCTTGGGCAAAATTAATCAACGCCGGTGCAATCCGATCCATAATTCGGGCCGATCTGCTGAATTTTTGTTTCTCCGCTAATCTTCCTTAACGTTAATTTTAACATTACTGCATTAATGTCAGCAAATAATTTAAGCTCCGTATACATCGATATGTAACTGATTTTGGTGGCGATACTAGGTGGGTCGGCCGATGTGGGTCAGTTCATAATAAGAGCAACTATTGATAATTCTTGATTTAGCGTGTAATATATCGAAATTAACGCCTTCACTATAGTGTTTAGAGACATATTACTTCATTTTAAAAATTATTTTTTATTTTGCGCGTCAGGAACAAAAAAAAGAATTTGTGTGCATGCAATTATGGTAAAGTTTTAATTGAGTTTGCGGTGCTAATACTTCTTTATTTGCAGAGTTCATCAAACATATTACAATGCATGACATGAACAAAAGCATTATTATTTTATCCTTACACCAACTTACAGTCAGGATTGATCTATCAAAACTATATTGATCGTAGTCTAAGCTACGCTACAATATGGGACGGTATAAGAGATAATGTTCATAGTCGTATATGCTTGCTTTTTCCTTTACTTGGGAACATAAAAAATGATCACTTAACTACTATATCATAAATCATATAATTCAAAAAAGCTTGGGGTTAAAAATCGGTAAAGCTGAAATGTAAAGAAACAATTACTGTTATTTTTTTAGTATCAAGAAGTTTTATCAAATTTAAAAGATAAACTCCTCGAAAAACAAAAAAAAACATCTTTTTCTTAATTCCTAATCATTATTCTCATTATTCGAATGATCAAGTCACCTCTAACTGTGCACAAAGTTATTCAAATATTAATTTTTCTATACAAATCATTAATGTGTCTAATATATCGGGCGAAATAATCAGAAAAAACATTTATCTGAATTGGAATTTTAAACTATAAGTTATCACAAGTAAAGTTATTCAAATTATCCCCCGTATTAAAAAGTTTAATAATATAGTAAGCTTTAACAATCTTTCAATGGAAGATTATTAGATTAAAACGTCATTATTTGAGAGAAGGATCGAGAATATTAATTATGCTACAACATTAAGAAAATCTTTATAGTTAAACTAATGAAATTGTGTCTTTTATTTAAATGTTGCTTCATCGTTACTTACAACTTTCATCAATTTACAAATAAATTCACTCTATATTTTATTTGAAACAAATGACTCAACGAGCTCCAAAAGTCTCTTGGACACCCGAAGAGGATGCTCATTTAACAAGCTTGATCAAAGAACATGGCACATCCTGGTCCATTATTGAAACTCATTTTGCTCATCGAGATGCAAAAAGTTGTAAAAATCGGTTCGCTGTAATTCTTTATGATTTTCTTTCATTCGCTTGTTTGATTTTTCGCTTAATGTCAATGTTCGGACTCAGATGCAAGTGTAAAGACTAAACATTCAACAGCTATGAAATTAATCTTTTTAAGGAGAGTCTGGCACGTTAAACGAAATATCAACTTCATATAAGCGATTACTTTTAATCTCATTACATTACTAAATACTGTATAGTTTTGCTAAATAGACACCAATATCTTAAAAGACGCTCCACAGATTGGACTGATGAAGAAGATAGCAAGCTTAGACAAGCTGTGGAAGATAACAGAAAAGCCTTTAGCGAGGTTTGGAAACTTGTGGCCGAAAAAATTCCCGATAGAACTTGGCAGCAATGTGAAAAAAGATGGAACTCAATTCCAAAACCAAGAAAATAGTTTAATACGGATAAAATTTTAGTGACTTTTTATTTTTGGATGAGCTCAGCAACTGATAAAGTTTCAGAACTCAATAAACTTTTTATTTTATAAAAAGCGTTGTACATACTAGAAAACGAGTATAATGCATAGCATTGTACGTTCCAAGCTAAAATTTATAAAAAATAATAAATGTTGATAACGACGGTGAAGTGGTAAGTTTCTAATTAGATCTACAGTCGACCCTCGTTAATATCAACCCACAATGGTGTTGATATATACAAGGATTTATAACGGGATAGTTTTATATACTGTAGCCTGAACCTATTTTGTCTTAATAAGAGGTTGATATTAACGAGGATTGACTGTAGCTGATTTTAAAATTATAGACTTTAAAGAAATATAATAAAGCTTTATTAGGCCACAAAAAAATATCCTTTTTTTTTTTTTTTTAATCTAATATCTGTGTACCAGGTTTGGATCGGATGATCGTTCGGATGATCGTTCGGATGATAGTCCGGATTATGGTCCGGAAATTAAATCTCGATTATTTTTTTCTAACGATAAGACTTATTTTTCCATTAAATAACGATCATATTAAGCAATATTTAACGCAATTTACAATGTATACGCGATAAATAAAAATAATATTGGATTTTGACATTCTAAAAATATAACTCTATTTATTTTTGTTTAATCATTTGGCTTTAGTTTATTTCTGTTTAACCATTTGGTTTGTTTTTTTTTGTGACGTTCGCTCTTTAATAAATTCTGTGCAGTCGAATGAACTCAAAATTTTGCAATTTCATAATAGTTCAATATAAAAAGTGCCATGTGTTTTTTAATAAGATAGACGGTAAAAATTTTTTATAACGAGTTGACTGTACTTTTTTGTGATTAATCTTTTATGTATTATGCTTCATCTTAGATGAATATATATTTTTTTTTTGTACACGAATTTTTTTAAATTGATGCGGCTGAACTCTAATTTTAGACCTACTTCGACTGTTATGAGGAATCTTGTTGAAATAGATAAGACACTAATTTGCCCATAGTTAGATATTTAGATTTTTCATATCCTTTTTCGAAATATTCCATGCTGTTAAGAGGTTAGTTAATATCACCAATAGAGTGTGTGGCACAGCGGTCATGGGCATGCCCAAAACAAAAATAGTCTATAGGCATGCCACTTATATGATACGTCTCGCTCTGGCTAAACTGATATTTGGATATTCTGAAATATTCCGAGTAGAAAATCAGACAACATAAAATTACAAGAGAAAATTGAAGCAAAGGTCCGAAATATTCCGGAAGATGGTTCAATTATATTATGGCATGCCCATAGTATGGAATAGCATAAATTTTGGCTAATGGCATGCCAAATTTTTTTGCCGTGCCACACACCCTAATCACCAATGATATGTTTTAAAAAACTTTTCAACGGGCATTATATGCTTATTTAGATCTTTATCGCTATTTAATTATAAATAAATTTTGAATTATTATGAATAAAATACAAACCAATTTCAATATCTTTTTTAAACGGTTGAACATTGCTTATTTTCAGTCATTGTAATTTTCAACTTGATACTGATAAGCTAACGGAAATATTTGCTGAAGCGGTATAGATAGGTTCGATATATTCAAAGCTTATTTAGGTTTAGTTTGATGGTTTCTTGTAATTAACGGAATAACAGCTTGTTCACAATATTAAAACGTGTTTATAACAAGTTTTGCATCTCTATTTTTTTTCAGGGAGAAAAGACACGAAAAATATTATGTTCTTATCATTCCGATTATCTTTCCGGTCGATAATCCGATCCCAACCTGGTACACATTTTCTAGGTGCAAGATCCAAACTTACATAATACACAATGATTTATGACAAGGTTATTTAACATCGGTCTATATGAATCATATGATTTTCATATGGACCGATAGAAAAAAGCACGGGTTATTACATAGTACCCATGGGATAAATACATTACTTTGAGCAGCGTTTGTTTATTGATAATTGTCACATCTTTTTATTATGTTATTTATCACGTCACGTAATCAAAATATAATAAAAAAGAGTGACAATTACCAATAATTACCAATGAACAAACCGTTTGACAACACTGTTTTTGAATAGAGGAATGCCTCTAATTAATTAATTAGACACATAATTAAATTGATCCGTTAAATTAATTACATACTCTTGATCGTTACATCTTCCAACCCCGATTAAATTAATTGCCTCATATTACGTGTACAAGTCACCCTTAATGATTGATATAGAGCGACCATCTTGTAATAATTACTCATTCTAATTCACTATTTGAGTTAAATTGGACGATATATTAATAACGGCTCTTCCAAAACAATAGTAATAGCATATATAAATACAATCGTACACTTTCACCAGGAACTATGCAAGATCCTGTTCCTCATATTGATTCGCACAACTTTACTCAAGGTCCTGTTTTTCATAATGACACCCGAGTCCCTCTGCTTGATACTAATTCGCATGAGGCTATACAAGTTCCTTGCATTAATTCCTATGCTGTTCAAGTACCTAATTCGCAAAAAATGTATGTAATACACCTAGATCACTTACGATTCTTGTGGAAGTTGCATTTTATATGCTTATTACTTTGTACAACATTAGCCCTATATCATTAGGACGTAAACAAACTTGGAGGTTCTTTTTTTCTATGACATGCAACACTGTGGTGCTCTTAATTCTTCCCATCTTATTGGTCCCAAAGTGTTTGATGCTAATACAACGAAAATTATCCCCGAGTTGTTCTATATCTAGTCTGGTAGTAATCGGATTGGTTTTTTTTACCGTATTCTTTAGATCCCATCATGATAAGGAATATGCAAAGCCTGAAACACGACTTGTTCCAAACTATGCACTTCTTTCGGGTGGTGCACGTGTAATTCCTCATATGACTTCTAATGAATATGTCAGTTACCCAGAAGAATTCGTTAAACGTCAGGTCTCGAAGATGTTTAATATCAAGTCTATCCAATCAAAACCGGCAAAGATCGTCTTAACATCAAACAATGAAGCAGGAAACTGCTTTTGTTTTACCGGCACTCATGGACAACTTGCAATTCATTTAATCGGGGTTGGAAGATGTAACGATCAAGAGTATGTAATTAATTT